ACCTTTCGCTCACAACTTAGCGACTTGCTACCAAGTTTGTTTCTTGGCTGAAGGAAAGTCAGTATTAAGATAAAGATCGTCGTTTCTTTAGATGCAAATCCGACCTCTGTCACCGCGCCCAAAATTATTGCTAATACAGCCATCATACGTCCAGTGGAATTTACTGTCTCTCCCACAGTCATGCAAAAAATACTCAGGTAGCTTGACACGGCTTGTTCTAGGGGTTGCGTCAACATTTTCAGCAACAGAGCAGGCAATCGGACGCTACGCCAGAACTCAGAAAAGATTATGGTCCGCAAATCACCAGCGACGCGTTATCAGAACAGTAGGACAGTCATCCGAGCCATTTTGTCTGTGTCGTAAGTTATGGATTTTTGGCAAGTTCGCTCCTTCTTATCATAGCACCGAATGAACTGCTTCCGGAAACTAATAAAATCCTCTCATGGACAATTAGAAATGTGGCCTGCAAGAATTTGTACAAATATGCTTGACTAAACTCAGGAAACCAAACTACTAATAGAAATCAGACTATCAGGTGTCAAGCCGCCTTCTGTTTCTGGGTACCTTATCGAACATTGAATACAAACTGATCACTAGGCGCACAACGAATATCGGCTAAGGAGTATAGAAACTTGCAAGCTATGCTCGAGAACGAGCGATCAAAAATCTTACAACTTTAGCAAGTATGATGTCCCCCGCAGCGAATGACTGGAAGATATCCACCTTGTCCTTTTCTGTTTCAATGATATTCTCTTTCCTGAAACAAAAACAGAATGCAGGCTAAATGAAAAAAAGCAAGCAAGAAATAAAATTCATAAATCAAATCACCCTCGAAAACAACACCGATGTTCTGGGGTAGCCTACACGAGCGAAAGCCATTCCATACCCCGTTAAATGTATAATATTTATATAAATACCTGATTCAAACGTCGAAAATGCAAAGCGTAAAGAAAGAAAAATCTATTTTTCAATTTACACCGACTGCATTGTTGCATTGCCCCCTTGCTCCTAGTCTCCAAAGGGGCTATTTAAGCAGGCCACAGCTCCATGTGGCTGAGGTGTATTAGAGAAAACGTGCAAACCTCTATCTGAAAACGTGTATCAGACCACGATTCCTAATTGGGCTGATGAAAAAACATGTTCAAGCGCAAACGCCACGATCCGAAGGCGCAACAAATCGAAAACATAACCCTGATTAATATAAACAAAGAATAGCTAGCAAAATTAAATTCCTTAGGATGAAATTCCAATTAAATAAAAGATTTCTGAAATTCATTAACCATCATCATTCAGGCTAGATCGAATGCTCTAAAGAGAGCGGGTTGGCATATAGTGAGATCTCCCACAGTTGTGTTGTTACGGCTATGATGCTCACGTTCTTGCTATCAATGCTCTGTAGATTCTCAATGGCATATTTCATAATACATCATCTTCTTCACGTCCATACTGGAAAACTTTCATGTTTCGCTTAGCTTATAAACTGTTACGGTCGAAATTTCTAGCTTTATTGTGCAAAAACGCGTTCACCTGTCTAAAGTAATCCCATAACGACGAAGACACGAAAATGTAACCTGAAAACACTATAAAATTAATAAGAATCTGATAGTTGAAATAATCAGAAAATATTTTGACCAACATACTATAACATTGAATTTCTATCTGAAGCGACCAATTTAAGAAGGCATTTTAGTTAGCAGCATTCAAAATTTAGGAGATCACATCGAGTTATGCATAGTAATAAAATACAGGTAATTATTTTAGCGTACATTGCTGATCAGCTTGACGAACTGGGACGAGGATAAAAATCTGCAGAAGAAAAAGAAAGCCTGAGATCACTGAAAAACAAATTCTGAGCCGGCCATGCCATGCTGAATCGTCACCTGTAACTCTATTCGGCCCGGCCTGAATGGCAACGGACCTTCAG